ACTGACGTCATATTCTCTGTTTCCAGCGAAGGTGGACGGCGACATAGTGCTGCCAAACGAGCAGAACCAGATGGAGCTGGAGCAGCAGAGACTGGATGACGAGCTCAAGGTGGAGGAAGACGCCAGTGCCGCGCATGACGTCACTGAAGCGTCGCGGACGGACATAAGTGACGTCACAGTGTCCTCCGAGCTCGCGGGAGGTGATCTCACTTTGGCCCCAAACGCGGGGCGGGGAGAGTGTGTGAAGTGCGGTCGTGGATGCCTGTACCGACAGCGCAAGCGCAGGAAGTGTGTGCACAGGCAACGGAACCGGAAGAGGAGGCGAAACAGGGGAAGGAAGAGGAGGAAGCGCAAGAGGAAGAACGGTGGTAGGCGGCGAGTGCTGCGGATGAAGTTCAAGAAGAAGTGGCAGTACAGGCATACGGAGGGGTAAGGTCGCTTTTGAGTTATCAAAAGGGACTTGGATAAGGGTCTCGCTGCGATCGATGCAGCGGTTCCTTTCTCTTGTCAAACCTCAGTAATGGTGCATCATCCGAATGTCTGCTTAAAGCACACCGTACATCGATGACGTCATTCCATGTGGATTGCAAAACATAACCAATTATGTCTAATAGATTTCAACTTCGGTAAAACGTCAGCACCAGGCACGCCTATAATAACACTGGATAGTGTCACTGCAGGTTCTACCAATATATAACGAGAAAATCTTGTAAATAAATTTCGAGTCCAGATTACTTGACGTTTTGTCTTAGCAATACACTTTTTTCTTTCTTGGTAGCTCCAGAGTGCAGCTCTAGTCCATGACAATTGCAAATAGCGCGACGGCGGCCGTCATGACAATGGCAGAATCTGCTAAGGGCCTTCGCCAGCTGGTACGGATAGGTACAACTTTTGAGTTGTTTTAACTTGCACATTGTGGGCCTAGGGGCTAAAAGTGCCACCTCTGTTGGTATGAATGACGTCAGTACAGATGAGCATCTGATGATTGGCACAACGGGCAGCAAAAGTCGTTTGCGGAGAAGCGCATTGGTTGAAGTTTAAACCAGTCTGTCACTTGAGACCATGTAATCTCTGTTCTCCAAAGCTAAAGTTTGCTTCGAAAAGAGTCACTGTGCTTAACACTATAGGGCAAATCAAAGCCATAGTACAACGCTTCGCAGAATTCGCGCGCGTTACAACAGCCTTATGTTTGCCTATCGTTTCTTCTAAATATGCCGTGCCAAACTTTTGAGCCATTTATTACACACGAATTTTTACGAAGCAATGAATTGCAAACATCACAGAACACAACCGCTAACGAATTCAAAGTGATGACCAGGGATTCCAGTGAGATTGCTCCCGCCGCAGTCGCTACTTCAAATAGAAATTCTGAACTTCACAGGATGGTGTCGAGGGAGCTGGTGTTACCGATACCATCGGATGCGTCTGATCCACATAAGTGATTAAAACAAATAATGGCAAGCACCCTTTAACGTGACATGTCGCGATGCTGCCACATGGAATCGATCACATGGGTTCGCGCGGACATCGTCTCACACATAACTCATCTTGAGACCTTTTTGAGTAATCTTGGCGCTCCATCTCGACAGCGAAGGTTCCGCCATATTGTAATGCTTCCAGGAATCAAGTGCATTCACGTGTCACTTCCCGCTTCGACAGACTGCATCACACACAGCGGGGGAGGGGGGGGGGGGGGGATAGTTGCTACCGTGATCTACTAGTCTCGTTGCCAAGTGTGGTTGCGATCCGGAAGTGTTCCTTGCTTTCCGTTTTTGCTTGTGGGCGCGTGCCTTTGCCGTATCAGTGACAGACATCTCACAATGGCGGTCTTCTCCAAATAGCTATCTGCGCCATTGAACTTTTCTATAACTGACAGACATATGAGCGTAATGTGCATGGAATCTTGACGTCACGCTTTCGCGGAGAGAGTGAGAGCAAGAGCGAGGCAGCGGCCACTGCCACCACCCATTCCACCGCCCACACTGACCTGACTGACCTCCTGACAGAGCGGCCGGACGCCGGGCGGGAGCGCGTGGTGCGCCTGCCGCACGACCCGGACCACAGCCGGCAGCGGCGCGCCGCCACCGCTCGCCTGGACCGCATCTGGGCCCACGGCGTCATCCCCTACCACATCGACGACGAGTTCAGCGCTGAACACAAGGCGCTCTTCAAGCAGGCGATGCGACACTGGGAAAACTCGACCTGCATCAAGTTCGTGGAGCGCGAGCCGGCGCTGCATCCCGACTGGATTGTGTTCGCCGTGCGTGAGTGCGGGTGAGTTCGGCAGAGTTGTATTTCCTCAGGTCTGTGAGTGCGGGTAAGTTCGTCAGGGCTGCACGAGAGCTGAGGTCTGTGGGTGTGACTACGGCCGGAATAACGTCTTCGAATGCGGCAATGCTTTTGAGGGGCGCATTCTTGCACCCTTTGAGTATGTTCGTCATAGCTGTACGAAGCACATCCGTAAGTGTTTCATTAGACATGTATTTTTACTCGCCTTAGTCGCGGTGTGAGTTCGTCGCACCTATATTTTTACATTTATCTAAACCTGAATCCTGGTAAGTCCGTCATGCCGACCTCTCTAACAGACTGTGTGTATGGGCAAGCCCGTCGCTTTGTTTTTTCATTCGCCCACGCCAAGCAAGTTCGTCGCACTTTATTTGCACCGCGGGCTGTGAGTGAATGTGATTAATTCATCGCCTTCATGTTTGTTTTTCTTGTCTACGATGGTGTCGCTCCCACTTTGCTATGACGGTGGGGGGGGGGGGGGGGAGACGGACATGGGGCCGCAGCTCTGCTGCCTTGTTCTGGTCCACCAGACCTTGTGGTAGTACGCAAGTCTCAGTACACGCGGTGCGTTACATAGGTGTGGTTCCAGCCTTGACCTGTGCTGTGAGTTTGCTCAGTGCAGCGTTTTTTAACACCTAATAGATTTACAATCAATGGATGTACAAAAGCTGTACCCGGGTCTGTCAATGGGTTCGGGTGTACTCAAGTCCGTCGCACCGGAACCTGTCCCGGGGTGGCGTTGGCTTCGCTTTACTTGTTTTTGTACCCGGATCTCTGATCTCTGTGATTCCGGATCTCTGATCCCTTAGGCTCCGGATCTCTGAGTGTAAGGTAGGCAATCTCGCTTGCGTTTCAGTCTACGCTTTCAGCCTACCCATTTAAGTCTGCAGTCCACCTTTCTCAGTCGACCGTTTCAGTCCAGCTTTTCAGTCAATGTTTTCGGTCTACCAGCGCCTTCGCATTCAGATATATCTAAAACGCGCGTGCTTGGTTAGCATGCCAAAATTGCGGGAAACGAACCGGGTCTTATTATTCTACACTTAATCACCGCAATAGCAATACTCAATATATGATAAATATAATAACAACTAAAAATAAGCAACAAATCACCTGCTCCAGCGCCATAGCCGTGGTGAAAAGTTGGGCTCAACAGCTTCAGGCCAAACAGTTCCACGTAGTGCTAAATAACCGAGTTGTTAAACTTTATTATCCAATTAGACACGAGAGGAGAAGCAAACAGTCTATCAGCACTTGCATGCATAGTTAACATTCGATCAGCAAACAGGGCCCACTAGCTTCGACGAGCAGGGCATATACAGTTTGCACACCATCAATTTTGCAGACAGGATGCAAGATTGATTACGATGAGTTGTGAAGACATCTACAAAGCACGTCACCTTCCCTTCCGCCTGACACTAGTTTGAGATAATCAACCCGATGCTTATCACAGGTAATTGGAAACGGAAACTCAATTGGATTGAGCACGCTTTTGGAATGATTTGGGGATAAATACTAAGCGCCGCCTGTCGCGACCACCCTGGTCTCCCCCCCCCCCCCTCCCCCTCCCGCTCCTCGGCATCCCCAGCATAGCAAATCCTCTACAACGAACAATTTTGTTACGGAGAGTTTTCAATATAGTAGGCAATGACGTGATACAGCCGCTCCATGCCAGCCTGGGTACCTGGGCCGGCGACACGCAAACCCTGATAGATGACGCATGTAAGGGGGGTTCCCGGGGTGGCTACCTGCCAGCTGTTTTAACTTGACGAGGGGACTGTTTGCCAGCCCGCACCAGCATCGACTTGTCAGCTCATTTTGTTTTAGACGCTTGGGCAGGAAGCCCCACAGAGAACTGAGGTACAGCGCTGCTAGGACAGAACTCTCACTGCATGAATTGTTGAGGCGATGCTTGCAGACATATGTCGCGAAGCGGAGAGAGCACCAAGCAGTTCTCTGATTAGAGATGTAAGAAAAAACTAACACCAATTGTCTGCAACGACAAACGCCCACGCTCAAAACCTCATGGCCATTATCATATAGATATTCTTCGCCATTATCATATAGATAATGGCGAAGCATAACAAGTGACGGCAGTGCTTTCTCGAGCGTCCCGGGCTGGGCGTGTCAGCATTCCACGCCGCATCCCCTCGCACCAACGGCGTGGAGGGGGCGGGAAGCCGCTCCAGGCCGAGACGCCGCACGCACGTTCCCCTCAGAGGTCAGGAACGCCGCATCACGCACCACTCCCGGCGCGTGAGTCAGAGGCACGCCTGCCGACGCGGTCAACTTCGACAGACCTCTCAGCTCGTGTCGGGAAGCCGGCTGAGTCACGTGTCACCAGTGACGTCACTGATCGCCTGCGGCGGCACGGGCAGACTAGGGCGGGGTGATAGCCACGTCGGAGCAAATCATCGGTGGAGAATGCACACGATGGAGGGCGAATGCAATCATTGTGCAGGGAATGCGATGGCGGAGGTGCGGCGCTGATCAGGCCAGTTTGCACCGCAGTTAACGTTTTGCGGGCATATTTCCGCAGAGAGATGTTCCGGTAGGTTAGCCGTGCCAATTTCTTAAAACAACCGTGAACCATGCGGCTGTTAATGTCATCACCATTACCCTGGGGCGCGTGCAGGAATGCACTGTGCGGGGGACACAGCCAAACAAAAGCCTACTGAAAGCCCAGCATAGCGCGACGCAAACGTGCGAAGTCTTTCACGGTATAAAACACCATCCAGTAATGCGATGACTGTTTTACGAGTAAACATCCAGCTTCTAATCGTTAAGATGCATTCTTGCACTTCTTCTATCAAAGGTGTCATACACTTGACAAGGGAAGAGGTGCGCCTCCGGAGGCCACTACTTGAAAACATCCCTGACTGTCATCACCATCACCATTATCCTCACCATCACCATCACCATCACCATCAATATCACCATCACCATCACCATCACCATCACCATCACCATCACCGCCACTATCATCGCCATCGTCACACATTTATTTCTGCCACAGGAACAAGTGTGACATTATGACATGGAAGCAACATTAGTGCCAAAGCTGACGCTTAAACCTGACCTAACGTGACATCCTGCTCCAGAGGTGTCACTTCCTGAGAACGGCAACTGACAGGGCTGACCTACCTGGGGGGGGGGGGGGGCTGACCTAGCGACTAACCCGTCCCAAAGCCTGACTTCTCTCCGGATTCATGCAACTCTTACTTGTGCTCGAGGAATCGCTGCCCCACTGGGTGCTAATCCATAGCCGTGTGCAGACCGGACCAGGTCATGTATCGCCCCTCGCCCTGCCGCGGTGTCCCTGGGGTGACAGCGTTGGATGAACCGGCGTCGATGAGGTCATATGTCGCCGGTCTGGGCCTGCGCCTGTCAGGCCGGGCTGAGCGTCGGTGCTTTGCAGCGGCGCCAGAACCCAGGCAACACGAGAAGCGACTCTGCATCTCATTGTGTATTCCATTCCGTATGGCGTGCTATTTCGAATTCGGAAGTTTCTGTTTAGCTCTGTTTAGCTGTGCTTTTGGAGAATTCGACGTGCATTTATTTTTCTGGTACGGCGATTTTCAGTTACATACAGCGAAGCGGACACATATTTGGCCCAATAGTCATTTTCATCATTTCCGAGCTAAGGAAAGCGTCTTCTAACCATTTAAATTTCCTTGAAACCGGAAGTGGAAAAGGACAGCTCCTAGTCAGTTAAACTTCCGTGAAACGGTATTGTCTGGAAATTCGGCAATCCATATCCGACTAATCCATGATTAAACCGGTGGCCAGGTCGGAAGTGTTGTTTTTGAATTTTGAGTGAGATAAGAACCAATGGGAGGCAAGCGTCATCTGACATCTTTTGTTTTGTTGGGGACTATGGCGCACTAAGGCGCCGGGATTGCATACCGTCACTTGCCACTCACTCTGGCAGAAACGGCGGACACAGTGAGGGATCGAAACCCGTGCCCCAGGCTCCCCTCACGTGCATCTTGACCACTGCACCATCACCATCTTGACCACTGCACCATCACCATCTTGACTACTGCACCTTGATAATGTTTACATCATGGAGCGTTTTAGTTCACGGTAGCCGCTTTCAAGCTAGCATCACTGGTCAGAGCTGAAGTGAATAAAAATCAGTACGCATAGGAGATGAACCCACTAAATGCTCTCCTTGCTATCAGAATGACCGATGAACTCTTTTCCGGGAATGTATTGTTCCGTCGCACTGTACTTATTAGTCATTTCACATCTCCTTTGTTTTAACATTTTATTCCATGGAACCAGATTTTCAAACGTAAAGCAACGAACAGGCGCATATTAATCAAGCAAGGATGCTTCAGTGGCGACGTTTACCGGTTATTATGCCTTATATACATTACCGGTTTTCACCAGTTACATTATTCCTTGCCGGTTATACAATACCGGTTATATATTTACCGGATAGATCTGACGACAAGCGATGGGTCTAGCTTCTGTTGATGTCGCCACTGCAACACCACGCTCACAGTGGAACATGTGCTCGTATGCTGCCCCACACTACGCGTCGAGCGTCTGAGGTACTTTGGCCCGGCGGCGCCGTCCCTGGCGCTCTCCGATTTACTATGTGACAGGTCACCATATATCGAACATACCCTCGGGTTTGTATCGCATGTTAAGTTCTGCACTTTATATACACCTGCCTGAATAGTTGATACCGCGTGTAGGAAGTTTTTAGGCTGCCAAAAATTTCGTATCAATGACGCGTTCCTGATACAACTCAGCCGTTTATATTTCTGAATAATACATATTTTCTAGTCATTTCATAGTCAACTCAGCCGTTTATATTTCTGAATAATACATATTTTCTAGTCATTTCATAGTCACACTCCAAAGCTAGTCATTTGGCTGTTATGGGCGCAAAATGACCGCAGTAGTCGACGCGCCCTAAAACTCCAATCAACAACAACAACAATAGCTTCTGTTTGTCCTAGTTTTTAGTTTTAGTTTTAGTTTTAGTTTTTAGTTTCTAGTTTTTAGTTTTAGTTTTTCAAGTTAGTTTTAGTTGTCCGTTTCAGATTTGGGACAAATTTTTTTTTAGTAATTTAATTTCATTTTTGGTAATTTCAGATTTTGGACCCCTGTCTAATATGGCTAGCGTGGAATGGACCACAGTGTACCATGCGGTATAAAATGAACGTGGTAGTAATTTTAACACGCACCGGTATCTGTCCTAGCTGGTCAGCGATACTTTTATCTCTTACCCCGGCATTTTCCATATGCATTGGTACCTGTATGGTCTTGCAGTCTAGGCCTCTACAGCCCCCCCCCCTTCTTCATACGCATTGGGCGTAGGGGCTAAGAGAAGCATGGGGAGGGGCTCAAGTGTACAAAGTGGCGATAGTGTAAAAGTAAGATAAAAGCATATAGCACACGATGGTGTAAAAGCGTACTCCCCGCTCTGCTCTCTTCCCTCCATTGTTCGGAATCGCACCGCAATCTCCAGACGAGCCAATGGATGACGCGTCGCTGCCCTAGCGCGGGCCCTCGCAGTCCCGCCGTGATACCAACCTCCACCCCTGCGGTCGACTGGGGGTGTACGCTTGACTGGGGCGGGCGCCCACCGCAGGGCCCCTCGCGCCGGAGGCGGGGGAGCACGCTCCATGGACTCCCCGCCTCGACAGAATACTGTGGCAGACAGGCGTAATGGTCGGAACAAAGCGTTGAAGCCCGTTTTTTTTTTGCATTGGGAAGGAGATTTTCCGCTGCGTTTGAAATAGTCGTGGTGAAATCTCGTCGCCAGGGAAAGTCGCGTGACTCTGGAGTGGGTGGCACGTTCAAGCGGATTTGAAATCGCTCATCGTTGTTGTTTTAGTTGTTGGATTTAGCATGATCCAAGAAAGCATACCGAGTCGCTTTCGGCAGCAGCATGGTCCTAAAAAAATCCACCACATGCGCATTATTTGCGTTGGTAATGAAGTTCTGCACGCCAGCTAAGGGAGCATACGGTGATAAAACTTGGCGGTCTGCGCTTAAAAATTATTTATCTCGGCTGACGCCAGCCTGACGATTGCTGTTTTATATGCCAACAACAAACCGCTGTTTTGGCGCCCGGGAACCCCTAGGTAGAAATAATATGTTAGAACTGGTTAAAACTGCTATTTTTTTAAGTGCCCTATCGGTCAGCTTCACTTATCTTGTTTTTTGTACTATTTCGCTTTGATTTTTCCTGTTATTTCGTAGGCCCTTTTATTGTTTGTTACACTATTTCAGTATTGTTTCGGTGTTTGGCGTTTCCGGTTCTGAATCAGCTACAGATGGTCCTCTTTTCATTGAATGAGAGCATTGACCTCTGTTTGTTTATTTTTGGGTGCCGATACGTCAACCTATGAAACAACAACAAATTCCTCTCCCTGAACCGGAGAACACGGTGTCCGTGTAAGCAATGTGCTTTCGTCCTGAGTTGGATGCCCTCACCGCCATGGACTCCACGCCATTTCAAGTCATGTCCCAGCGGCCACAGGCCCGGTTTGACTAGCAACAAATAAGTCGGCCAGAGGTGGAGTTGATCAGTACCCAGACCGCACACGTCAGTGGAGTTGAATTGCAGCATGACTCAGATGCATGCTTACGTTGTCTGAAAACCAGCCGTGCTCTCCCACACCGTCCCTAATCGTATCGCGCGGCGCGAGCTAGACGCCGAACACATGTCAGCGTTCAGGTGCGCCGAACACATCTCGGTGTTCAGGTGCTCCGAGTATATCTCGGCTTCAGGTGTTCCGAGCACATATCGGCGTTCAGGTGCTCCGAGCACATCCCGGCGTTCAGGTGCTCCGAACACATCTCGGCGTTCAGGCGCTGCGAGCACATCTCGGCGTTCGGGTGTTCCGTACACTCTATGCCATGCACGGGACATTGGCTGCCAACGATGGGGGAACGGACCACAAGCATTCGGTATGGAAATTATATTATGAAATGCCATCCCAGGGTTGAATGATTTTCCAGTAGTTTCAGCTGAGCTAAAAGGCTTGGTGCGGACTAAAATCGTATTCAAGCACTGCCATTGGCAGTAACGTCGAAAATAGCGGTGCCAGTAGTGTCACTCGATGTTTCAGAGTGTATTTCTTAATTGCCTCATTGCAATCCACGTAGTCCTGACATGTTGCCAAGCATCAACAAACCGCCCTTAGCCTTCGTTATTGTAAAACAAAACTGGCACCGGTGGATTAGTGCTGGTCCTATGTTCACTACACGTTGTTAGGACATAGGTTGGAGATGGATCTGCATGAGGGCTGGAGCGCTGAATTACCGTCCTCTCAGACATCATTTCTTGCCGGCGCTGAAAACGGTTATGTGGTAAACAATGGCGGCTCCAATGGGGGGGGGGGGGGGGGAATACTCGTCTACGGGTCTACGGCTCACTGGAGTAAAAAAAGGCAAAACCTTATATCCCCTTTGATTTAATATGCAGTTGATTAGCAAACTCTTTGATAGCTATTCGATGCTTGACAGCAATTCGTATCTCGTGCCGAATCTGCGTTTGCACGCGCGCTTTTCCAGGTTGTTCAGAACACATAATTTCTCGCAGATGCTGAGCCATTCGTTGCTTGCTGTTCTCTTGGACACCAAATGGCCAGTCAAGTTTTGTGGGAACGGGAGATGGAGGCGAGACATTATGGCGGGAGATTGATTGAAAATCCCTAGCATTTATGGTCAGATTAGGTTTACCACATTCTTGTGGTGTTGGTAAAACCTCCAACTGTAACGCCATCTCAAGCGATGTGTCAGAACTGCCCAAGTGAGATCGAAAGCCCCCTGTTCAATTTCCTATCTCGGCTTTCCTCAGTTCTCATAACCCTCGTGACAGCATTTATTGCCCGCACTCGCCGAATGGGACGCCGACGGTAGCGTTTATGCACATCGGCGAGAAACACTCCTTAATACATGTGAAGTTCAAATTCTCGACGCCTGCTTAGTTCCGCTTCTCACCGCCAGGTGCTGTTCGTTCGTCGGTCGGAGAGGAAACGGAGAGCAAGCCATTTCCATCGGCAAGAACTGCGACAAGTTCGGCATCGTGGTGCACGAGCTGGGTCACGTGGTCGGCTTTTGGCACGAGCACACGCGTCCCGACCGCGACAAGCACGTGGAGATCTTCACTGAGAACATTATGGAGGGTGAGTACTCGAGAGGGTCGCCGCGTTATGCTGACGGAGATGGTTAGCGAGAGCACTGTGGAGGGTGTGCCATGCTAGCCCATGGAATATGAAGCCCAATATAACAAAGAACATAGTCCGGTACAGCATAACAACATAGCTCAATATAACATAGAACATAGCTCCGCATAACATAACGACACAGTTCAATATGACACTTGTTCGAAACAGAATACCACAACTACAACTGGAATTTACGAAATGCAAAATATATTAGAGATAAAAGTTACAGAACGCTACAAACATGGACCACGTCCACCGACAGATGCTCAGTGTGAGCAGCCATAAATCATTACGCCGGAAAAAGCGAAGCCTTTACTTATTACATAGAGAAAGGTGAAAGCACACCCACCCGTAACCCAACATATCAGTCCACTTAATGCCAATTCTATCCTGTGGTCTGCGCCAGTATGGGACTGAAACTGTAAAAGTGATTGCGTTATGCGCTATCGTGATACTTTCCTGCTTTGCATACGATGCCGTGACACAGGTTCATGCATAATCTGGCATTTGAGACAATCATGGGTTGATGATGAGCTTTAATGCTCGTGACGTTAGTGGTGTCGAAATGCGTAGGATTTTTTAACCTCTCAGCATGCGTCTCTGGTGCAAACACTGGGCACGGTGGATATGCTGCAACGTTCTTGATCACGCCAGGTCATTTTAGCCAGGTCATCGTGTGGGCCTTCCCGGGAGATTTTGGTTTCGCTGGGTGATGATACTATTATTAAAACTCATCATTCATCATTAAAGCGTGATAGAATAATTAAAACGCTCATCATTGAAACGTGAAAACGAAATCGATGCATTTTCTCAGTTGTTCTTTACTCTGCCCCAGAAGCACATTGGCTGGCGAAAATTAGTTTCGTTTTTCTTTTGGCTTCGACTGACTGACTGACCAAGGGAATGTTAAAGGAAATTTTTCGCCGATCCGTTTCCACGGACCTCTGACCCCACTTTATGACATCTGCCTGTCTCTTTTCGGCCTCGCCTTACCCTTCTCTATTGGTGGCGTCTTACCCTTCTCTATCAGCCGTCCCGAGCGCCGCCGGAGCCACCGCAGCTCCCTCACATTCCGGCCGGCCTACCGCCAGGGCGGTGTCTTACCCTCCTCTACCGGCCGTCCCCGAGTGCCGCCAGAGCCGCCGCAGCTCCCTGACGTTCCAGCCGGGACGGTGTCTTACCCTCCTCTATCGGTCGTCCCCGAGTGCCGCCAGAGCCGCCGCAGCTCCCTGACGTTCCAGCCGGGGCGGTGTCTTACCCTCCTCTATCGGTCGTCCCCGAGCGCCGCCAGAGCCGCCGCAGCTCCCTGATATTCCTGCCGGCCTGCCACCGGAGCGGTGTCTAACCCTTTTCGATCGGTCTTACCCTCCTCTCGGCATCCCCGAGCGTCGCCAGAGCCGCCGCAGCTCCCTCACATTCCGGCCGGCCTCCTGCCGGGGCGGCGTCTTGCGTCAGAGCCCCGGGGGCGGCGTTCCATTGTCCGGCCACTCGGTGTGGCGAAAGTCCGCCTTTGTGTGGCGTCGATCCCGCTCTGGGCCGCGGTGGCTCCCGGGTTAAACGCTGTCTTCCGCCGGTCGCAAAAGTGGGCTGGGTTGGCTTGGGCTCTGGCTCTGGCTTTGGTTTTGGCTTTGGCTTTGGCAGCAAGTATGCTAAATTGGGAGATGCCATTGGCGATATACCTCGAGCTCTCTCGCAACGCAGCTGAGAAACAACGGCACTGCAAACAACGGCGGCTGAGCTAAAGCCAGGGCCATTCGGAGATGGCTTTGGCTTTAGCTCAGTCGGCCCGCGCCACCAGCTCATCTCCGACCCATTTGGTGTGTGGGCCTCCGGGCCTATCGCTGTGTTCTGCGAGGCCGACACGAGCATTCGTGAACTCGCTCGAGCGCCCACGCAGCGACGCTCGAAGCCCTCCTGGCCGGGCACTGCTGATTGTTAGCGAGCTAGTTTACGGCCCCATTGCGGATGCTGCTGGACCCTTGGTGCATCGTGAAAATGGCCTGCCTCGCCGGTAATGGACGACATAAACAATGAGGTGACCTGAGATTGCGCCGGGTATGATATTTAACCGGGCGTTTTCCGCGATGTTTTATTAACGTGCCTCCCTGAAGGCATTTGTCTGAATGCGAGTTGGCTCCCCGATAGAGGGCAGTGTCGTGCTCACTGCCTGAAAACAAACCAGCGACCTCCATGGCTTAAATGCACGATGACAATTAATTACCAGACCGCGTTTAGGATTGATGGACAGCATACTTGGAGGGAATACAAGTTGTTGCTTAACCGTGCACATCACAGTCTCAATGTTTGTCAGAAGAGCAGTGCATTGACCGATCTTTCGGAGCCATCCAAACGATCATGAAACCTGAACGACTGATAAACGACCTCACGCCGTCCCAGACGGCGCCCTCACCGCCCACTGTTGCGCCGTACCCCCCGACCCTGAGTGGTCGACACTTCATGTACTCAGAAGCCGTGACTGCGCCGCATGACGCAGAAGAAACTGCGTGCTTCCTGACGTGTCACAACGCGGTCCCGGTGTTTTGACCCTTGTCCTGATTCGCCGTTTTTCATAACGCGGACTGATATGGGTTTGGGGGGGGGGGTCGATGCGAACCCCGTGTCGTTTCCAAACAAGGAAAGATAGATAAAAGTAGAAAGCACTAGTAGATTAGTCCTGACCGTGTATCGCGATTGGTATAAGTTTTGTGTTTCAAATTCAGTAACTGACCCCATTATGCTAGGTAAAAGTCGAATGTTCTAGAAAAATCAAACTCAGTTTTTCATGCACATGTGTACAGGACTATGCGTCGTTAACAGACGGGTTCCGTACTTCATTCTGAGTACAACAGGGTATGATTTTCTGTGTTTTGATCATATCTCTATGATGCATGGTTCCGTTAATATCACAGTGTCGGCTTGCCACGCGCGTTCCGCGGCATTGTTTGTTGCCGCCCGCTCAGGTCGTAGATCACCGTACAATGCTCTTACAAAACCGCCGCTGCTCCTAGACTAGACATTCTAGGGATACGTTTTTAGAGTCAAAACACGCGCAATGGATGCGTCACTAGCACGGAAAATCTGAGCCTGATTGCACGAAATGCCAGAGAAGTATTCTCAGAAAGCCTTAGAACGGTGTCGCATCGACCCCTCCCCTATCCGGGCGAGGGGTCGATGGGTCAAAACGTGTGACTGCGCGCCGTCTGACCAACGCGGCACCGCGTGCCGCCTGACCAACGCGGCACTCCGCGCCGTCTGATCAACGCGGCACTCCGCGCCGCCTGACCAACGCGGTGCCGCGCGCCGTCTGACCAACGCGGCAACGCGTGCCGTCTGACCAACGCGGCACTCCGCGCCGTCTGACCAACGCGGCACCGCGTGCCGCCTGACCAGCGCGGCACTGCGCGCCGTCTGACCAGCGCGGCACTGCGCGCTGCCTGACCGGCGCTGTGCTGCACGCCGTCTGACCAGCGCGGTGCTGTGGTGACCGCTCGGTTTATTGTGCTTCGATAGAAGACGTCGGTCCCCTCCCGGTAGCGACCCCACTGGTGTCACACGTGCGGAGATGTCTCGAACAATGGCTGCGTCACGCGGCCGGCGCACTGTAAACACGCCGTGACTGCGCCGTGACACACGCCGTGACTCGTGGGTGGCGCGGCAGCCCGGGCTTGAAGCGCGTGCGCAGCGTCAGCTGAGCGAAAGGTGCCAACTCATCTTTGTTATGGTGATAGCGCGAAGTGTTTGCGACCGGGGTTTTGATAGCGCGAATGTTTGCATGATTTAGGCTTACGTAAATACTGCTCGCGGCCCAAAGCCTGGAAATTCCGCCCCGCGCTGAAAATCCTGAGACGGATTCTAGAGCTCGCACCGTGCCTTGCATGTTCTTGTATCCATCTCATGTGCTCGCCAGCTAACCACGTGCGAAGCCACACACAAACCAGTTCTTCCCGTCCCAGCTGTCTTGCCATGGCATGCCTTTCCACTCACTCATCCTGCAAGAAAAACATTATAGATTTCTATAGCTCAAAAGTGGAAGAACGCAGGGGTATAGCCGGTTGCCATGATAACAGCTGGTTGTGCGGTTTGGCCGGCTCACATGAAAGGCTTTTTTTAATTATAATGCGATAGTCAATGAATGATGTCAGATGAACAAAAACAACCCAATGCCAGAATGGAAAGACACATCTACGTCTACGT